AAAAAGCAGTCACATTAGATTACCTTCAGGTTTTTATTTTGGCTTTTCTTGCTTTCGCTATAATTGGACATTTTACATAGACTGTACTCTCGATTCATTTATATTTGGCACTATATTGAAATACACTTGCCATTGTTAACCAACATCCAACAATTATGATAATTTGTCATACCATTTTGAAAGTTATATTGGATTTTCTCTTCTCATAGACACTAATTGCATATTTGAGGTGATGGATCTTATTCTCTCAGAAGCGTGTGTCTGGATCCCTTATTTATCATAATTTGAGAAAGCAGTATGACCTTATTTCTTCCATTTCTTAGGTTTTCAGAAATGCATAAACAGTGCAAACAAACATAAATCATGCTCCATCAGCTAACTGCTATAAAACCATTTACATGGAAACAGAGTAATTCTGTCCTATTTTCTGCCCAGTAAGTTAGTGCTTAAGAAACTCAGGTGGAATAGAGAAATAGGACTGAATTAGCTCATACTTGAAATAATATGCCATATTTGGCATGATTATTAAGCTTCTGTATATGCCTGGGAAACCACAGGGATGTGTTATTTAGCCTTTTCACCTGATAACATTTCCATCTTGTCTCTGTGCACATCCCTGTGCCATATTACAAGCCTCCCCTCCAATCCCAGGTGGGAGTCTTTGACTCCTATTCATTTGCAACCCTTCTGCTGTCAGAAATGTGTTGTGGGAGATAACAAATGAGTGACACTGAAAAGAATCACACCTGTGCAAATGAACATATGCAGTTCACCCAGAACCTGCTGCACATCAGTGGCACTACTCCTCATAGCTCTGGCTCTGGCACAGGAGGGGAACACCAGAAAGTGCCATGGACATGCAGGCAACTGTGCTCCCAAATAGTTCCCTTGCTCTGCAGAGCTCTGAATCATCCCTTGCCATCAGGTGCACATTTAATAAACGCCATTTAATTGTGAATGAATGACAGCTCGGAGACTTACAGTACTCAAAACAGCTATAAACAACTTTTTCTTTTTTTATGAGAGAAGGATGAGGAGAAACTGAGTTGCAAGAATATATGGAAGTGAGAAGTTTTTAAAGCAAACTGTGTTGCAAGAATATATGGAAGTAAGAAGTTTTTAAAGCGTGTGTTAATTCATGAAAAAGTGGTGATGGACTGAAATCTGATCCCCTTTACCTCTAGTATACACGGGAGCTTGACCTGGAACCCTTTGATTAGAAAAAACATTTGCTTTCTCACAGAATATCAAGCAGAGAACTATTTGAATGACTGTTGCTGTTAGTTTAAAAAGACTTAAAAACACACTATTTTCAACCCTTAATAATTAAATTTTGCCTGGCACTTCCATGTAACTACCATGCTGAGTAACATCTCACTAAAAACTAGACATTTGGAGGTGTAAGGAATGGTGGAGTAGATACTTTAAATTTTCATCATGACATCTCTCACCATGTTTTTAAAAAGCCCACATCAATTAAGGCAAGTATGCTTTGAAGAACTTCTTGCAATTTTCAGTTAGCTTAGAGATATAGTTATTTATCATTTCAAATAAGCCATGGAGTGCAGAAAATGGCCAGTAGCATCTAAATCCTGGAAAGCAGCATTTTAAGTAGGTTTTCACCAGTTAGAAATCTTAAAGAAATGTTCAGTTACTTACAGTTACCAAGAAGGGTAATGAACATTTATAGGTCTTTAAAAGCATGTCATGTCACAAAATCCATATTAACAGACTCATTGGAAAGACATCTGCTGTATTCAGTGACTTCTGCATTACGAGCTCTGCAAGCAGTTCTGAGATTCCCCACACTTTTAAGCAGGTGGCAGTGTAGGTTAAAGAGATAGATTTTTCCTGCAGCTGATAGAAATCATGCTTTCCAATTTTCCCATTTATCTCAACTTAAGGTAAAAATATACAGCACTATTACTGGGTTCCTATTTAGATGGGAACAGGCATGAACTTTGAAATGCACTTCTTTGTTGACTCAACAGTATTCCATTATTTCCAGATGCAGCTTTTTGAGCTTTATTTCTCAGAATGAGGCACTGCAGTAAGAGACAAAACTCAGCCTCTCTTCTTTAAAATGACAGTAGGAAGACCTGTCTTTTGAAGGGGTTAGGTGATGTTACAGTGCAGTGATTCAGCATCAGTGCTCAGTGTCTAATGATAAACTTTGATAGTTCTAATAAAAGAAAATATAGTGCCCTTCCTTCCACTGGACCTCAATTTATGTGACTGACACAGACTCAGCAGCTAAGACAATAGGAATTTAGTTTACATTTGCAACTTTGGGTTGCCCTTTCACTTATTTCAATCTTTTGTGCATAAAATGTTGCATTGTCTACCGTTCATGCCTAAGGATCACTAATAATGTTAATTTTAACATCTTTGACAGAGACATGGATGGTGGGATGGAGTGCATCCTCTACGAGTCTAAGGACACTCAGCTGTGTGGTGTGGTGGACAGGCTGGAGAGAAGGGATGCCATCCAGAAGATTCTTGAGAGACTTGAGAGGCCACATGAACCTTGTGAAGTCTAATATGACAAAAATCAAGGTCCTGCACTGGATCAGAGCAATCCCAAGAACAAATACTGGCTGAGCAGAGGATGGCTTGAGAGCAGCCCTTGGGGAAAGGACTTGGTGATGTTGGTGGACAGGAAGCTGGACATGAGCTGGCAATGTGTGCTTGCAGCCCAGAAATCCTAACACATCCCGTACTCCACCAAAAGCAGCGTGACCAGCAGATCAAGAGAGATGATTCTCTGCTTTGTAAGAGCCCTCCTGGAGTGCCGTGTCCAGGTTCAGGGGGTACCCTGAACAAGAAGGACATTGACCTGTTGGGGCAAGCCCAGAGAAAGCCATAAAGGTGATCCAAGGGATGGAGCACCTCTTCTATGAGAGAGCTGGGGTTTTTCATCCTGGAGAAGAGAATGTTCCAGGGAGATCCTACAGCAGCTTCCAATCCCTAAAGGGAGCTTACAAGAGAGCTGGAGAGAGTAATTTTGGAAGGACATGTAGTGGTAGACCTTAGAATGAAAGAGGGCAAGTTTAGATATTAGGAAGAAATTCTTTACTGTGAGGGTGGTGAGGTACTGCAAAATGTTGCCCAGAGAGGTTATGGACACCCCATTACTGGATGTGTTCAAGATCAGGCTGGGTAGAGCTTTGAGCAATCTGGTCTAGTGGAAGGTGTCCATGCCCATGGCAGGGGGGTTGGAACTACATGATATCTTAGGTCCCTTGCAACCACAATTCTATGATTTTCTATACTTTTTTATTTTCTATATTTTATTTAATTTCTATTTTTTTCAGATACATTCTACCTTATTAAACTAAAATAAATAAACAAAATGCAACAACTGAGTTTCATTTAATGAACAGTATGTGGCTTTGATCTCTTGCTAATGTCTGAACAGAACAACTCTTTTTCAGAAGCATTTTTTTTAAGATGACTAGACACATGGTAACAGTAGCTGTCATGAAGCTGCAGGGTTTTTACTTGGAGGTAAGAAAAATGTGTGCATGTGCAAATACTCTTGTGGAAGTGAAGCACTGTTCAGGTGGACTGGTTCTGTTGGCAAGAGAGTACAGGTGAACCGAAAACTGAAGAAGGAACAATAGTTCCTTTTATTTTGTGAGTGCAGGATGGGTAAAAATCCCAACTTCTCTGCAGGAATTGATTTCCACACTGTTGAAAGCGAAGTTCTTCACGCACAGGTGGAACTTGCGCATCAGCTTCTGCCTGGTGCCTCTCCTCCTAGCGGCTGGCACCACCGGCAAGAACGCGGCACCTTCCTCTCGACACCCGCAATTTGGCTATTCACGCACGGCGATCAGCCCCGGCTCTGCCGCCTCTGTCCGGGCTGGATGTGTGCGCAGGGCGAAGGGAGGAGAAGGGGATCAGAGAGGAGGGAAGAGAAGGGGAGCAGGGCGAAGGGAGGAGAAGGGGATCAGAGAGGAGGGAAGAGACGGGGCGCAGGGCGAAGGGAAGAGAAGGAGATCAGAGAGGAGGGAAGAGAAGGGGAGCAGGGCGAAGGGAAGAGAAGGAGATCAGAGAGGAGGGAAGAGACGGGGCGCAGGGCGAAGGGAAGAGAAGGAGATCAGAGAGGAGGGAAGAGAAGGGGAGCAGGGCGAAGGGAAGAGAAGGAGATCAGAGAGGAGGGAAGAGACGGGGCGCAGGGCGAAGGGAAGAGAAGGGGATCAGAGAGGAGGGAAGAGAAGGGGCGCAGGGCGGGGAGAAGGGGCGCAGCTCCGCGCAGCTCCCGCCCGGGCAGGGCCGTGCCCGCGGCGCGCAGCGCCCCCGGCGGCGGGAGCGCGCACTGGCACCCGCGCCCCGCTGAGAGCGGCGCTCCGCAGCCCCACGCGTGACACCCACCCACACATACACACACCCACACACACACCCACACACACACACACACCGCACACACACACACCCACACACCCACACACACACCCACACACACACACACACCGCACACCCCCAGCCCACGCAGGAGCACCCCGGCAGCTCGCAGCCCCCCAAGGCCCGCGGGTCCCCGCCCGCCCCCGCGGCCGCCCCCGGGCGCCCCGCGCTCCCCCGCAGCCCCGCATGCGCAGCGCGGGCGCGGAGCTGTCCGAGCGCTGAATCCGTGCGCTCCCATCCCCGCACGGCGCCGGGCTTCCCCGCACCCCGCTCCCTGCGACCGCACAGCCCCCCCGCCCTCCCCACGGCAGCGCCGACGCTTCCCCAGCCAAAGAGGGGAAAAGCAGAGCCACCCAGTAGCCCCACCAGCGTTCATAAATACTAATTTTCAGCGAAAGGGGAATAAAACATATCGACGGCAGAACTGCTCTCAGAGCTGTTTCCTTTTGCCTGATGCTCCTCGCATAGTTGGGTTTTCTCCTCTTTTCTTTTCCTTTTTTTTACCCCTTTCTTTCCCTTTCTTTTCTTCTTTTTGCTTGTTGGTGGTTTTTTTGGTTTTTTTTTTTTTTTTATTCTTTTTTCCCCTCTCCATCACCAAAAGCAAGTCGGGGGAACGACTGTGTCTGATGCCTTATCTCTTTTGTGCTGACTGCTGGAGATGAGCCTAGGCTTGACCTGACCATGATTCCAAGGACTGGCACTTCTCTTTTACCCCCACTTTGTAGAGATCCAGACCTTCTCTTCCTGATTGTCAAGAAAATTAAATTATTGCTGAATTTGGAAATCTAGGCAGCAGCAGCTTACTTTTTCCCTTCATCTCTCTGGAATCGTTTCTGGGATATTTCCAAATCATCACAGAAAGCAGGAGGAATGAACCGGCAGCTAGTGAAAATTTTGACAACCTTGTTTGCATTTTTCTTAGAGACAAACCACTTCAGGTAGGTGATACCACTCTATAATAATATTTGTCAAAAGGTTGTGAGAATCCTAACTATAAAGATACTACGTCACAATAACCTAGTTTGTTTGCTGTATTTGAGAGTGTTTTGTGTTCATTCTATATAGACTATCCCTTTTACACTCAGAGACTCGTTGCTTGGTAACAAACACAAAAAATAATAATCTCAAGTTTGGGTGATCTATTTTCCATTTTCTGATGCAAAGATGTGGGTTTTTTTCACTATATTTCAGTGTAGCTGAGAACATTTTCTTCGGCTTTTCTTCCTAAGTGCAAATTCTCTGCTCCTGGCAGAGGTTGTTTAGGAAGTTGCTTTGGTTCCCTCCTCTTCAATCTTTGGAAAAGATTGTACCAGTTTTGTCAGGGATGTAGTTATTTGAAATTAGGGAACAAACCCTCTGATTTTGGAAAACCCTGGATCAGTCTAGTATTGTGCTCACTTAAAAGTAACAATGTTCCTGATTTTTTCTTAACGTTTCATGAGCTTCTGCTTCAGCTATTGACTTTTTTTGTGGTACTAAGCAAACAGGTCAGTCTTTTTAACCAGAATAGCATTTTAGATGAGATTCATTATTGGACTGTATGCTGCTGTGCGTCTGCACGTACAGATGTATCTACATATAAAAGTGTTTCTCTAAGAGTAATGAGGTATCATGTAATGACAGAGTGAAACACTGTTTATATTTGTGAGCCTGGGTTCACAACACGACTCATAACTACTGGACACTGAATGAAAACAGAAGTAATTTGTGTATGAATAAGTGTATATCTTAATTTTCCAGTTTCTATTTTCTTAACAGAATTATTTCATTATGTAAGTTGGATACATCATCTGCTGTGTACTAAATATTAAAAATATTTGTAATGGTACCCTGTCATTGACAAAAGCAAAAGGAAGCAACCGCCTCCTATAAATGGAACCTGAAAAAAAAGTGTGGAATCACACCACATGAAATTACTATTTACTATTACCTTCCTTATGTTTTAGCAATTTCCTTTTGTCGTGAGAGAAAGGATTTGATATTTGCTTCTCATTTCAGATGATCACATGTATATCTGATTTTTTTATACTTGCATGTAGACGCATGAAAATACCCCATGAAACACTCCTGAAACTGAGAGGTTCCCTATGGACAAATATTTAAACATAGAGTGGTTAATAAGTTAGAGTCAGAATTACTTTTAATTTAGCTCAAAGATAAAGTAGAAACAGATACAAAAAATTAATTATATAAGACTTAAGATAATGTTTTATTATTAAATCTGTGCCTCTCCACACCAAATATGACCATTTTCATTCTAGTTTCTTTCTCCCTGGGGAACAACCATGGGGAACTCCTAAACTGTCTTTCTCTGCAATACATTATGTGCTTGTAATATGTAATGTGCTATGTACACAGCATTTCACACACATGTTGTGGTACCAGAAGTTTTCTCTTAAATCCTTGAAACAGAGGTCCTCAAAGAACTTGTATATGAATACTACCTGGTGATACTAAATTTTATTATTCAGTGCTCGTGGAATGGGGGTGAAACCCCCCTAAGATCAGTTGTGACTGACTCTGGAACCCTTTTTGCAATGTTGGGAAAGAATCCAGGCACTCACTAGCATGATTCAAATATTTTTTGGGGTAGCATCCGTAAAAAACAATTTAATTTTTTTTTTCCATCTGAACCTTTCCCAACGTTAAAAAATCTGGGTTTTTTCAGTGTTGCTTGCTGAGTGTTGCTGGCTGTTGTTTGGAAGTTTAAGACCACCTTACACCAATATTAACATAACATTTTAACAGCATTCATGGAATTAAAATAATGATATAAAATAGGATATCAAAATCACTCTAAGGTGGATCTGCATGTTAAGGTGAAGAGCAAATTGAATCTTATAAAAACCTAAAACTGTAACGAAATTATTTTTAAAGCTAAGGTTTTTTCTGAATAGAAAATTGTGTTCACGCATGATACCTCAAATTCATCTTTATTTCTAGAATAAAGTTTTCAGATGAAAGGTAGAGTATGTTGCTCTTTAAAAATATTGATTTCTACCTTCACTGAGTTGAGACGATTTTATTTAGTGATGTAATTTCTCCATGACTTGTATACAATATGAGCTAAATATTAGCTAATGGTGGCTAATAATTTATTTAGGACGACTTTCTGTAAAGAACATGATTCAAGATCTGGAAAATCCCCCTCACAGACCCTGTCTCCTTCAGATTTTTTGGACAAATTGATGGGAAGGACATCGGGGTATGATGCTAGAATCAGACCAAATTTTAAAGGTAAGTTTTCTAAGACTTCTAATTAATTAATTGATAAAGTTTGGGATAAATTATAGGTTTTGAGGGGTTTTTAAACTCTGGGTTTAGTTTATGTTTTCAATAACTTCACTTTCCCAGTGTTATAGTGCCATGGAAAACAGCTGATCCATGGGCTGGACTAGGAGACGGAGCAGTGTAGGTAATAAGGGTCCAGAGCTTGAAAACCCTCTTTTGACATGACAGTAATGTTCAGCTGTAAGAAAATGCTTCTGAAAACCTTACTAATTGAACATAGTGAATTGGATTATGAGCTTCAGACTGAAACCAAATGAGATGACTTGTTCCTGAGATTTTTAAGCCACAAAGACAATATCATTAAACCTTCCATGCTGAGTGAGATATTGTCTTCTTTGTAGCAGTGTCTGAAGAAAAAAAAATCTATGTTTTTTTTCAACTTGAAGAAAGTAAAAGCTTATTCCCCAAGGTAGGGGGAACTCAAGGAATATACACAGGATATTTTATGGTGCAAATGCTGAATGAATGATAAGAACCAATGTCTCAGGATCCCTACAAAATATACAAACTGTATTCTATTTGGCACTTCCATGACAGCCCACTTTTCTTCCAAAATTTTGACTGAATTGTGGAATATCATCACCACCATCCCAGCACAAAGAAGGCTGTGTACTGGAAGCTTCTTTTGCAAACATTATTACTCAAAGCAAGTTTTCCTTGCTGTAGTCCTGTAAATCCCTGTAGAAGAGAGCACAGAATATATTGTGGCTTTCCATGAAAGGAATTGGGAGAGAAGTTTTCACTGTCAATATTTAGCATTTTGAGACAGTCCTATAATTCCACCAAAATCATCTCCTCTATGTCAATTTAAAGCTCAGAATATGGTTTTGCTTTGAAAACTGATAGAATGCTTTTTCCCTTAACAAATCTCATGGCAATGTACATTTGCAACTCATATCTGTTAGCTTTGGCCCTTGAAATGCATTTTTTCCTGATATTAAGCCTTTTTAGCAGTGCTGTGAAAGTTGATAATGGTTGGAAAAAATAATCATTTCTTAGCCAGTGAATGAACTGTAAGGAGAGAAGAAGATCACATGTCAATGAGAAAAGTGTTTAATTAAATTCAGATCAAAGATCAGTTTCTTTCTGTTCTGCATGTGCAAATTACAAGATTTAGAACAAAGGGCCTTTTTTTGACTGCTTCCTATGCCTGAGCAAGGAGAAAACCAGTATGGATTTCAGATCGAAAGGTTTGAAAGCTGGCAACTTAAGAAACCCGAGGCAGTGAAGTCTAAAGTCTTATTTTCAGAATATTTTTCAAAGTGCTTGTTGAGTTCCTGAACAGGTGTCCACATCAGTTTATAGTAAGCAATATTGCATTAGTCACTCACATTCATTTTGTGTGTTTGCATGAGTATCAGTGAAATTTTAGAGAATGGAAATGAAGGCAGAAATTGCCTGAATTGAGCATGGTATCAATCCTTAAGGACATTTTGCTGCTCTTTAAATGGGGCAGCGGGGGAGTGGGGGGGGCACTAAAAAATCTTCATCTCTTGTATCTCAGACAAAAAACAGCAACAGTCCCATGTACACACATGACTTAGAGACAGGTCTCTATTGCTCCCCAGGATGTGTCTACAGCCATTTCATGAGAAGCATTGGAGGCAGGTTCGTAGCTTTGCTCCCCTGAGACTGAAGTGCAGAGCAGGTATTTGGTGCTGCACTGTGTGGTGCACACTGAGCTGCTTCACAGACACTTCTCCCCTCTGAGTTCTGTATCTTGTTAGCATTCCCAAAGTGAAGTTGCTGCTTGTTGACACATACGAGACCTTACTGGGAAAGCATCTGCCATATATTGGTTTATGATTTCTTTATTAAGTCACACTCCAGAGCAGGATGGTACTTTGTGGCAGTTTGAACTCATAAATAGATCTTCAATGATTTCTCATAATTTTGTGTCTGTGAGCTCTCCCAGAGCTCTCAGTCATCTGGTGAGGGGCCTGAAAGCTCTTCTTGTTCTTTGCTGTGTTCATTTGGATGGTATTTTGAACCTCAGAGTTTAGAACTACAGAGTTAAGTCACGCAGTTTTGAACTTCACATCAAAACCTTGTCAGCTAATAACCCTGTTTATTAGTCAACATCCATGTTTTAGTTTCCCAAGTCTCATTAATGTTTCAAAAAAATTGAAAATACTTATTGTTCTATATTGCACACTTCTTCCTTTTAAAGAATAAGGACATCTGCAAAGGAGTCAAAATAAATTTATTTTGTTTGAAGTTAGTATGATAAAGTTTATTATTTTTTTAACTGAGTCTTTACTGTGTCCATAATAAATTGTTCTGGTAATTTTAACATTTATAAATTTGTCTAATATAATTTTGGGGGTAAGGCCTATTGTACAATACTGATATTCTAAATCATATAAATGGAAGAATGTATGAAATGCTGAATGAGTAGCTGATTCATAACACTTTTCGTATTTTAAGGAATTAACTTTTTATCATAGAAGAGGCTACTGGAGCAATGGTTTAAGCTAGGGATCTTCTATCTGGCTTTGACTTTAGTCTGGGGATGATAATTGCTTACTTTGTTTCAGAAAAGACATAAATCGAGATAGTTGTGCCACTATTCAGCCTCTCCTCGTAGGGTTTTGAGGAGCAGCTGTTTGAGGAGTGGCTGAGGGCACTTGTTCTGTTCAGCCTGGAGAGCAGGAGGCTGAGGGGAGACCTCATTGTGGTCATCAACATCCTCACGAGGGGAAGTGGAGGGGTAGACACTGATCTTTTGTCTCTGGTGACCAGTGACAGGACCTGAGGGAAAGGCCTGAAGCTGTGGCAGGGGAGGTTTTGGTTCAATATTAGAATACAATTCTTCACCCAGAGGGTGGTTGGGGCACTGGAACAGCTTCCTTGAGAAGTGTCACAGCACCAAGTCTGAGAGAGCTCAAGAAGCATTTGGACAACGCTCTCAGGCAGAGGGTGGGATCCTCTTGGCCCCTGTGCAGGGCAAGGAGTTGGGCTTGATGATCCTGATGGTCTCTTCCAACTCTGTTCATACTCTGATTCTCTGATTCTACTGATGCATTTGTCCAGCTTTTTCAGCTTTAGACCAGTTACACAGCTTTTTCTGAGTCCACTACAGGCATTTTAAAGTGTCAGAAAACTCTGATTCCATGGAAGTGCAACTGAGTAGAACACATTTATCTTATGCCTCTGATTATACAATAATTAAATATACATTTATGACTAGCTTGAATTACTGGAAAACAGCAGCTATTAGATTAGTTTTTGAAATAAAGGCTGTGCACTCTAAAGAGAGAGGAAAATGTCACTTACTGGAAAAAGGTGTTTTATCCAGATAAAGCATTTCTTCATTAGTGACTGCTTTTTCCTATCTTGTTCTTGCAAATTAAAAAATTCAGGAAGATAGTGGGATAGCAACAGGTGAATATATAAACATTTAGACATCAACAGCAGCGGGTTTTTGATTTTTTTGGTGGGTTATTTTTTGTTTTTTGGTTTTGTGCTTTTTTTTTTTTCCCCAGCAGTACTGTATAATGAAAGTTACTTTCTCTTTTTGTATTGTTCTGTCTTATACAATCATTTGAACACAAAGGAACATGTTTCTTTTTCTTTTTGATTTCAAGTGGTTGGATACAAAATGTCCAGACCCTAAGAGGGGATGTCCCCCTGATGAAAAGCCAGAAGGAAGTGCCAGAGTGACAGCTCTCATAACTGTCCTTCTTTAATCACTCTGTCAGATATTTAGTGCATACTTTTTCATCTTCCACTTATCTTTCATTGAATTTGAATAGGCTAATATTTTGTGTAAGGACACAGAGAGGAATACTTTTAAATATAAATATGAAGACTGCAATCTAGAACTAACTGAAGTCCCTGAGAGTCTTTCTGTTGACAGCAAATGTATGCTCATGGTCCTATGAGTTCATTTGCAGTGTCTTCTTCAATTATACACCAGCTGAGCATGGATTCTGAAATATAATAAAAGGTGAGGCTTGTACAATGCATTTTTACTTTATTAATATTAATTTTATACTTTTTAAATGGTAAAACACAAGAGAAGTAATGTCTTTTACTTTCTCTAGTGCTCACTTTGCTTTCAAAGTTAAAGAAAAGACAGAAATAGCAGTGTAGGACACCTCTGTTATGAAACTAACCAAGAATGTGCTTTTTCATTTCTAGAAACCAGGGATAGTGAAGTGGTATCTTAGCTTAGTGTACATTCAGCTCAGGCTCAAGAGCACTGTGTGTAATGCCAGGATACAAGGGATCAGTCTAAAACTGAATCACACCATGAGATTTGGGGCTCACGGTATGCCAACTTGAATTTAACATTTCTGAGCAGGTGTTGATCTTCAGAGGTTACTAAATTATTTCGACTTTAACACTTTCATCATCTATCACCACTAAAAATCTAAATGCAATCTAGAAATTATCAGATAGAAAAAAACATTATCTATAGGCACTGCTATGTCCCTTATGCCAAATACTTTAAGTAATAGGCTGGTTGTCATGCACTGGGTACAGAGCAGGGGAATTGGTCACCAAGAACTGCAGAAGTGTGTTATCTTCAGGTACAGAAAATTTTGCAATGAAGACAATAGATTTTCTTTGTATTGAATTTCATTACATGTTCTAAATTCTGTCTTTCCCATTGAATCATTATTTACTGAAGATTATTCTGATTTTTATGGGATTACATGGAGGTTTGCAGCAATAGTGCCTGCTAATGTTACCCTCATCACTGGATGTGATGATAATACAGTGTGAATTAACTTGCTCAAAAGCTGCTGTTTTGTTAGTGATGCAATTTGGGGGTGTAGGGCCATAGTTGTAAAAGATTAGTCTGTGATTATAGCAGTGTAATGCCATTTTCATGCTGAGTCCATGGGTTTATATCTGAATAAAAAACGCATGGACTAAGTAATTTACTGACAATTAGCCTGATAACTGTTACAGGAAATGGCTTATGCACTTTAATACTT